GACTCGCTGACGCAACACTAAAATATACAACAAAAGTGTAAGTTTGAAAAATTTTTTATTTGTGTAATAAATATTAAATATTGTTAAAATATCATACTTATGAAAAGTTTGAATAAAAAAATTCTTGAAATAGCATTATCATTACATTTTTTTATTAACTTTGTAATGTTGTAAACTTGCGAGTGAGTTCTGAGTGACCCTTTTGGCAGGAAACAGTTACTTGTAGCTAAATCATAAGACTGGCAGAGAGAGAGATGTACTTTTTCTGTATATATATTTCAAATAATTTAAGAACAATGTTATAATACATAACAGTAGCCAAATGTAGAGTGCTGGAGTAAATAATTTTGGGGCCCTGTGCACTATGGAAAATTTACCTTTTCTTCTTTAAACTAGACAGAACATATCGTATATACAGCCTGTAAATGTCAGAACAATTTCCTATGTAATTATTATCAATGAAAAACCTATATCCTTTTCTGCAAAAAATGCAAAAGTATCACTGATAGTGCAAACATTTTGTGTTCTTACTCTAATAATTTAATGTCAAATATAATCAGTTAAAAAGGCCTTGTACCCCACTCTATTGAACTAATAGATAGGCTGAGAAAGCATTGTTATCATTGTAAAACAAATAATTTAATGATGTTTATGTGTATTGTTAATGTACACCGATAACGATTGTCATATACACCTTTTTCTGGAATATTGTTGTTGTAGACCTTATCTCAGCAGGTGGGGTCTTTGAGCTCAAACTCCTGTGCAAGTGCACATTGGTTAATGCAGGCCTACAAATACGGTTCAATGTGGGTTTTGTTATTATTTTTCATTTTCAAAAACAGGATGCCATTTTTACAGTGTTAACTAATCCCCTCCAAGCATATTCACTTTTGTATGTCCTGATTGAAATTTGCATGTATATTTTACATACAAATATACATGAATGGGTACATTGAGGACATGGGTCCTTTAAACTATGGAACCTATGAACCGCCTTGAATGGACTCCATTCAAACTGGACCCTTGTTACTAGTGGAGTGCTTAAGAAGTTCGTTCATTTTTTTACATTAATGATGTTGATAGAGGCATAATTAGTGAATTAGTAGTTTGCTGATGACTTTGAACTCTTCAGTATTCTAGTTGTATTGAAATTATTGGGGTTCTAGTGAATGACTTGGATCAGTTGGTAAGTTAGTCATATAGTTGGCAAATGATCTCAATAATTAATAAAGTAAGTGCAAATAGTGTGACTTCAAAGGATCTTGGCATATTGATGGATAAGTCACTAAAGCTAATGATGCAGTGTTCTGTTGGTAGTAGTAAAGCTAATCGACTCTTTACAGGTGTATTTACAGATGTGATTATAAGTCGAAATGCCTCACATGGAATAGTGTGTATAGTTATGTTCTCCCCATCTAAGAGAGGATATTGACTTATTGAAAAGGGTGGAGCCTAAAATATTATGCTGCTGTGTCATGAACTTCAAACAGTGATGAAGCACAAAGATGAATGATTTGAAATGTTTCATTTTGTACTTATGACCTTTGTCAAACCCTGAAGTACACAAAATATGAAAGAAACACATGTACAGTACTTATACAAAGTAATATTGGCATGACTATATACAAGTCTTCCTTTTGAACAAGAATAGATTTTAACTACTGTATTCACTTTATTTTATCTCAAAATTTCCTGCCACAGTTTGTTTATAGAAGTTTGCCACATAACTTCAGTTTTAATTTAAACTGAGTCTCTGTTGTTTAATTCTGAGCAATCAGTTATCATTTCATGAGCTTAAACTGGAATAATTTATTAATGGAAGAAGAAGAAGGATATGTGGTGTAGACTTAAGCACGTTAATGCTTAAATTAAGGCATGTTTTCAATTAAATGAAGTACTTTTTTTAGTTTTTAAGGTAATTTTTTAAATTTATTTTAATTGATGGACTGACCTATGTGTATGTACACAAAAGAAATCAGATGTGTTACTAAAGTATTTGTATTCAAGATATGTCTGAATCAATGACATCAGTCTGATTCAGACTGTGACAAGTTGGAGTGCATACTAAAGTATTTGTACTCAAGATATGTCTTTGAATGAAAGACATCAGTCTGATTCAGACTGTGACAAGTCGGAGTGCATATTAAAGTATTTGTACTCAAGATATGTCTGTGAATGAAAGACATCAGTCTGATTCAGATTGTGACATGTTGGAGTGCATACTAAAGTATTTGTAAAGACATATCTTGAGTAAATGAAAGACATCAGTCTGATTCAGACTGTGACAAGTTGGAGTGCATATTAAAGTATTTGTACTCAAGATATGTCTTTGAATGAAAGACATCAGTCTGATTCAGACTGTGACAAGCTGGAGTGCATGATGATGTTCATGTGAAGATCACAAGTACTTTTATCCATCATGCAGTTTGAATATTACATTTGCATCATCTTTAAAACCACCAAAATGCACATCTAAAGGTTTTTTCAGTGTACCTGTATGTTGTATCTGGTATTTTCTCTCTTGCAGTGTGGGGTAAAATGAATAGTTACTAACTCTAAATACCATGTTGAATAGCACTCTGTAAAAGGTCATGGCATGATCATTTTAACCCCCACCCATGTACATAGGATTAAAGATGTATAAAAATCTAACTATAACTAAGCTCATATCAGTGACTGATTTCAGTTGTTGAACCTATTAAAACAGCTCTGATGGAAAAAATATCATTTGGTCAAAGCATGTTTCTAAAGATGTACATGGCTGTAGTCTGAGGTGAATTAGGAATAGTTTTAGTAAGTGTAGGAAATAGGACCAAGACTAAAAGTAAGTTGTTTTCATTTGTTTGTTCTGTTTAATTTATACTTCGGAAATTATCAAATCATCAAATTAAAGGTGAAATAGAAAAAATTGCCTTTACATTATTGGAATCCAAGACAAAAGTTTAGAAAAAGTCCAGGATTCTAAACCAAGGTCATATGTTTCATTTCGGACATTAAATCAACCTATATTACACAGAAACATTCCTGAACCAAGGTTATACGTTTCATATCTGACATTAAGTCAGCCTGTGTTATACAGAAACATTCCTGAACCAAGGTTATATGTTTCATCTCTGACATAAAGTCAACCTGTATTACTCATATCTGACATTAAGTCAGCCTGTGTTATACAGAAACATTCCTGAACCAAGGTTATATGTTTCATCTCTGACATAAAGTCAACCTGTATTACACAGAAACATCTCCGAAACAAGGTTATATGTTTCATCTCTGACATAAAGTCAACCTATATTACACGTAAACATTCCTGAACCAAGGTTATATGTTTCATTTCTGACATTAAATCAACCTGTATTATACAGAAACATTCCTGAGCTAAGGTTATGTGTTTTATCTTTGATATTAAGTAGACCTGTGTTATACAGAAACATGCGTGAATCAAGGTTATATGTTTCATCTCTGGCATTAAGTCAACCTGTGTTATACAGAAACATGCATGAATCAAGGTTATATGTTTCATCTTGTTTTTGTTTTAGTTACTATAAACTGTTCTGAGCTTTTTGAAAATATTCAGTTGATCTGTCTTCAATGCAAGAAGCCAGCTTTTTTTGTAAGAATTCACTAATTAAATAGTTTTATATTAATGCATTTGTTCTGAAAACTTACATTCTAGTGGGCAGCTTGTTGAACTGTTGTGCATAAACAAAATTCTGAACTGTATAATAAATATTCTGTCCTGTAATTATTCCAGTTACAAGTTTAGAAGAAGAAATTAATAAATTGGTTCTAATACACAGTTAAAGTAAAGAACATAGGAGGAAGGAAGGGGTTGAAATGTATTCATGGTGACTATAATATAAGAACATAGGAGGAAGGAAGGG